GGGGGGGGGCACGCTCCGTGACACAGACAGAGAGGAGCGGCTTGAAACCAGAAACCAGAGGGGGCGCTGTGTCAGACTCAAAATACCAACGTTTGTATAGAAATCTATAAAAGAAAAGTCTGGTTAATGCATGGAAAAGGGCACAACAGATTGATCAGACGTATGTAAAACTTCAACCTTTCAATCTTACGTTACTATTTTTTCCAAAAAGTTTTTCCTTCTATTACCAACCTCACTATGATCCATAACTCTATCGCTGACCCTACAATAGGCAATCTGACGCAAGACAAAGCATGGAAAATTCAAAGATGGCAGCTTACATAAATGACATGACTTCAGATTGCGGAAGGAGACCGCGACACCTGGAGGAAACCGCACGTGAATACGGGAAGATGGCGCTGGCTGTACAGGCAAACAGCCACGGCTGGGACTGTCCCACAAGGCTGGAGCTGCGAGGCTGTGGCTCAGCTCGCTGACCCTATGCTGAGTCGCCGCGCTCAAGTTGTCTGAATCTGGAGTTTAGCTGTGAAGGAAAATGAGTTCGGACTTTCCTGCAGTGGAAACCACGTGTCCAGTTCTCCGCTGTGTTCGCACCATATTCACCCGCCAAAAAAGAGTCGGGTCTTAGTCTAGCTGTGGAGGAAAGGATTGTGGGACCGAGGGCTGTGAAGATGTGAGGGCGGGGTCTGTTGAGAACGTATGTTTACCACAGCCCCCCCCACCCCACCACCTGGAAATGGTCCAAGACGTGCCGGCAATGAACACTCCAGGAGTGGATGCATTTACCGGGTCAGCTGCAGTTTGTTCCTATAAGTCACTTCAAGCTGGTTGTTGAATATCTAACCCCCCCCCCCCACAATGCCCCTTTCCAAGATAGGGGTCCTGTGTCGGTTTAAAAAATTCTATCAGTTGCAGAGGGAAACACAAGCAAAAGAGAGATTCAGCTGTGATAGCATCTGGGACAGAGAGGAAGACGAGATGTCCTCCGTAAAAGGTGAACCCCCCCCCTCCTCCCCCCTTCACTATTGGGTGTGGCCCAGAATGTAACGTGAAGCATTCTTCATGTCCAATCCCACGGTCTGCCGGCAGCGATAAACCGTAACGAAAGCTGGGAAATGGGTCACCACTGGAAGACTGATGAAGTATCAGACATAAACACGCTACCTCACCGCCGTCCTGACCGGCGTCCAAATAACGGCGCTTCATCCACACTGCACAAGCACATCCAGCACTTACAAGGCAGCTCGTCTCTGCACTATTTACAGGTGTGATAGTTTGTTATTTAAACACCAAAAGGCAACGATTCACTTATATACTGTCACGTTAAAGGAGAAGACCTCCCTCCGTGGCTCCATGTGACACCTGGCTTAACTACGTGTGTTTATTTTAGTCACAGTCTCACAGATGCAGCTTCAGGATAGCGGTTCTGCTAATGCGGGCGTGAGGTCTGTGTCTTTTGACCCCGACTGATGTTACCGAAGCCGAAAGGCACAACCTGGCTGATGTCCGCTGGAAATCTAAAGCACCATGACCGCACACGACAACAACGACAAAGAATACCGATAGGAAACAGCGAAACAAATAACGTCAACGAGCCACAGAAGAGGCAGAAAGGCAAAAAAAAAACAACAAAACAAAAGCAAAAAGAATGTAAAGCACCGTGAACTAAAATGCCACAAACAAAAAAAAAGGCAAACTGCGACATAAACAACAGCAAGCTATGAAAATGCCTCAACGAAAAGAATAAAAAAAACAAGCAAAGAGACGTGAATGAAGATAACGGCAACAAAGGAAGAGAAAAAAACAAAAGTGGAGCCACAAAAAAAAATAATGGCAGCGTGTAAAACGACGAAAATGCCAGACAAAAATAAAAATTAATAAAAAAAAACTGAATTCTGACATCATAAACAAACCACGCAAACAGGTCCCCGCTAAAAACAATTTAGTGAGCTTCAGACAAAAAGAACGAGGCTCCCCACGGTCCACCTCAGACTGCATCTTTCTATCTGGGGCAGAGAGAAACACCCCCCCCAAAATGGATTTGTGACCAGTGTAGCCGATGCTGTCTGTCTTTATACCTCATGGGGAATCGTTAGTCCAGGAGTGACTAAGGTAAGGGCTGTTTGTACCTCTCCCAAAAATGCCCTGCTCTGGTTTCTAAACAAAACTGAGAAGAAAACGAAGGAGTTAATTTTCCCCCAGAAGGTACATTTTACTTCCACTTTGGGGAATGTTTTTTATTTTTATTTGTTTTTATGCCAGAGTTCGCTGCCTCATCCAGAATAGGGTTGCACTCTGAAAGCTTCTAATCTGTAGATGTTTGCAGTAATTTCAGCTTGTTCTGTCCAGTAACAAGGTGGATGAACCTGTTTGAAGTGCTGTGTGCAGGATGCAGAACTGCAGGCCTCACGGAGCCACAGTATCAAAGGCTCATAACTCTAATTTACGGCATGCGTCGCTGTGCACGGGAGCACCAACGTGTGGGCTGCTGCACGAATGAATGCAAATGCAATGATACTGATAATATCCCGCGCTCGCTCGTTAAAGGAAGCACCCCGTCGCCCTAAATGTGACCTCGGCGGGTTCTGAACCTGCAGGCTGGTTCCAAGCAGCGTCTCTACTCCATCCTTACACGGCACAGCTGAAAAGCAGCGTCTCTACTCCATCCTTACACGGCACAGCTGAAAAGCAGCGTCTCTACTCCATCCTTACACGGCACAGCCGAAAATGTCGTTAATTCAGCACAAGTAACTATATTTGCTCTTGACAAGTAATGCTGCCACCCTCCCCCCCCCCCACACACCCCCACGGCACCTGTGACTCACCGTGCCGAAGCTGGGGAAGAGGTTGATGGTGGCATTCAGAGGAAAAGGGAGGAGCTGTTTCATCTCTAGGGAGGGCTGGATGGCTGGCAGGGGGGGGCGGAGCAGGGAGGGCAGGATGGTGCTGTGGCCGGCGTTACCTGCACGGGTGCATCGAGAACATTAACAGATCTACCCCAGCGATGACGGAACAACATCCAGACCGGAACGATTCCTAAACCGACTGACCAAATGGAAACGCATCATATAGGAAAGACTCCAACAAAGAGGTATATGTTGAAAAGTACGACACAGTCGTATAAAGCGATCTGTAGAGATTATGAGAACATCGGGGTGTCCTGGGCTGGCATTTTCATAAACGAATCTTTTCATAAACAAACTGTAGACAACAACTGAGACGCGGCACATTTCTCCCAGATGCTCTGCTGTCACGCGCAGTGAGCTGCCAGCGAGAGGCCAAGTGTCTGTCGTTAGGGGGAGGGGGGCGGAGGACTGAGGGACAGATCAGACAACAAGACTCACGAACGATCCACATTTTAAAGGCATTAACATTTTGCATTTCTTAACCTCCTGGTCCTGCACATGAATAAAATGGAAATCCTTCTGGCCGCCAAACTCGAGTGGTGATTGGGAGACATGCCCGGAACGTGCTCATCTCGCACCATCCTCATCTTTTAATTAAGTGAGCCAATCAGGCGACCCGCTCCAGCAACCCCATCACTGATCTCATCACAGAGATGTACGCCGCGTTCCTTTAAAACGAGCTCCAAGACGATAAAAACACAACCTTGCGTCCTTTACACTCTTACGGCCCTTTTAAATTTTACATTCAATGTTGTGCCAAATAATCATTTATTAAACCACTTCAGATTTAATATGCATGAAAGTGCCCACAATGCACCTGAAACAACAACATGAATATCTTATACGGCACCCACCGTGGGAACACGTGTGCACCTGAAATTAATGTCTCTTTTCTTCTGGTCCACAAAGTTTGCACAGGAGGTATTTTGTTTTGCTTTGATTAAAACGACAAAGCCAACAGACTTGAGAAATGCTGGATAATTCAGTCAGGATGGCATGTTATGGTTAACTTAATGAGGAATAGGGCATTTGCCAGAGAATACACACAGTGTTAATTAGGTCTATTTAATCTAATCACGGAAAGCCACAAAAGACTTTATTTGTGTTGAACATCCCAGCACC